TTCCAGTCAGCTTTCTTCTGGTATTTCACGTGAAACAAGTCTCTCCTGACGGGCTCCAAACCCATGGAAAAAGAGAGAGAAATATGTCTGCTTCTGGCTTTTAAACCATGTGTGACACGGGAGCACTTCCTGTGGAAGTAACGGCTGATTTGTCTGTGCCATGAGTGACATGGGGGAACTTCCTGTTGGAGTATTCGGCTGATTGGTCCATTTGAGGTGGCCGCCTCCCACAGTGGGCCGGGTCTTCTTTGCTCTTGTTTTGGAGGGAATCCTTTGTTCTCCTTTGTGGAGAAGAGGAGGGGGATGGGTTTCAGGTGGCTAACAAGGGGGGTGGTTTAGCCCACTGATTTAGCTCCATGTTGGTAATATACCTCAACAAGATATACCAGATACTTTATATTACTGTTCTTTATGACTTTGCAGTTCAAGGACATACCGTGTTGTTCTTGGTGAACACGATCTGAACTCCAACAGTGGAAGAGAGCAGATCATCAGCGTCAGCCAGATCTACATCCACTCCAACTGGAACTCAAACAGTGTTGCCAATGGGTGAGGAAAACCTATTTTAATGGCTAGAAATTCATTTATAATACAGGAAAACTGCATCATTACTGATCTCACTTCCAGATGAATGCTACAATTTTATCTAAAACTTCAACCAAACATGTTTCTGTAAAGAGTTCTCTGTATTTCAGGTATGACATCGCCCTCCTAAAGCTTTCATCCAATGCAGTTCTGAACTCTTACGTCCAGCTTGCCTCTCTGCCTCCTTCCGAGGAGATTCTGCCACACAACAACCCTTGCTACATCACTGGATGGGGACGCACCTCCAGTCAGTTCTATTGATTTGAACCACTGATTTCTTGTCAGTAGTATTTATTAAGTCTCCTCCATTTTCTAAATCCTATTCTGTCACTTTTAATAGCTGGTGGTAGCCTGTCTACTCAGCTAAAGCAAGCCTACCTTCCTCTGGTGGAGCACAAGACCTGCTCCAGCAGTAGCTGGTGGGGTAGTACTGTGAAGACCACTATGGTGTGCGGTGGTGGCAGTAATGAGTCTGGATATAATGGGAGTTTATCTAGAAAGGACAGTCAGCTTATTTAAGTGTTGCTCCATCAACTTCTGTCTCATTTTGGTGTTTCTGACCATTTTTATTTCAATCGTCCTTGTTATGCCATATGCCATGATCATACTTTTTGGACAGTGGGAACCAGTGTCCATATTTTATCCTGATAGGATGACCAGAGAAGAAAACGCAGCTTTGGTGAATAACAGCTGGGGGACTTCAGCAGTGCCCCCTTTTTCAGCAAAAGCAGCCACCAGCAAGTCACATGCGAGCCACCAGAGGTGTGAAAACCTACCCCCTCCCTGTGAAGACAGATAAAACCACAGAGCACAGAGGATTCTGCCTCTTCTCTCTTTCTCCCTCGTCTGATCCAGCCTGCTTCTGCTCCTACGCTCAAAGCTGGGGCCCACTGTGGCCCACAGTGGAGATGCAGGCCCGGGGGGAACCAGATCCCCAGAACCATCAGGGATAAGTCGAACCCTTCAGAACCAAACTGCTGCTAACAGAACTTTTGCAACACGTTTCTCTTGAGTTTCAGAACTTACAGAGCCAAACTGGATGAAGGCCATGCCCTGGATTTGAGACTGAGGGGCCCCTGCTGTGAGACTGAGACAAAGAATCCCTGACTGCAGAGCTGCAAAACTGGATGAAACTCAAGGTTTCCAAATGGACATGGAAAAAGGTTTGCAGGTCTGGCATGATTAGGGACAGAACAAGCAATGT